GTTATTCCACTGTCTTTCCTGCTAGTCCCCTCTCCCAGTCAATTCTGCCCAACTCCTCCCTCATGCCTCCGTAGTTGCTTTTATTCAGCTGTAATACCATTACCTCTGATTTTACCTTCTTCCTCTCAAATTACAGAGAAAATTCAATCATATTATGATCACTGCCTCCTAAGGGTTCCTTCACCTTAAGCTCCCTTATCAAGTCTGCCTCATTGCACAATACTAAATCCAGTATTGTCTGTCCCTAGTGGGTTCCACCGCAAGCTCTTCCTCTGCCTCCAAGCACTAGTTCCCTCCTTTATCCTTGAGTGGTTCTACCTTCTTCCCAGTTATCCTCTTGATTTTATCGTATGCCTTGGGATTCTCTTACTTGCCAAGGCCATTTCAAGGCCCCTCTTTGCTCACCTAATTCCCTGCTTGAGTTCTTTCCTGCCCTTCTTTATATTCCTCACATGTCCTACCCGATTTTAGTCTCCTAAACCTTATATATGATTCCTTTATCCTTTTGACTAACTTCAGAAGCTCCCTTGTTATCCAAGGGTCTTTACCTTGCCAGCTTTGCTAGAATATATCAGTCCTGAATTCTGATTAGAGTCTTCAGGTGTGAGGCTGGAAAATCACAGCATGTCAGACAGGAAAACCCTTTGTTGAGCCAAAATCCTTCGTCAGGACTAAATTCTGATCAATAGGTCTTTAAACAACTCCCACATGTCAAACGTGGACTTGCCCGATAACAACTGCTTCCAATTAACTCTCCCTAGCACCTGCCTAATAATGTCATAATTTGCCCTCCCCCAATTTAGTACCTTCCCACAAGGTCCTGGCTTATCCTTATTAATAGCTAACTTAAAACTTAAGGACAACACAGTGTGGAGCTGGAGGAACACAGCAGGCCAGGCAGCATCAGAGGAGCAGGATAGCTGACATTTTGGGTCATGATCCTTCCTCAGAAATGGGAGAGGGGAAGGGGACTCTGAAATAAATAGAGAGGTGGGGATTGGGCTGGGAAAGGTAGGTGGGATGGTGATAGCAGGTAGGTAGTGGTGGGAATTGGTCAGTGAGGTGGGAGGAGCGGATAGGTGGGAGAGAAGACGGACAGGTCAAGGAGGTGGGGATGAAGCTAATAAAGGTGAGTGTAGGTAGGTAGCGGTGGGGATTGGTCAGTGAGGTGGGAGGAGTGGATAGATGGGAGAGAAGATGGACAGGTCAAGGAGGCGGCAATGAGAGGAGGGCTGGTCTTGGGATGAGGCCGGGGTTGGGGAGATTCTGAACGTAGTAAAGTCCGCATTGAGACCATTGGGTTGTAGGGTTCCAAGGCAGAATACGAGGCGCTGTTCCTCCAGTTTCCGGGTGATGTCATTGTGGCACTGGAGGAGGCCCAGGATGGACATGCCGTCCAGGGAGTGGGAGGGGGAGTTGAAGTGGTTCACGACTGGGAGGTGTTGTCGTTTGTCGCAAACCGAGCGGAAGTGCTATACAAAGTAGTCTCCGAGCCTCCGCTTGGTCTCACCGATGTAGAGGAGGCCACATCGGGAACAGAGGATATAGTAGACCACATTAGCGGATGTGCAGGTGAACATCTGTTTGATATGGAAGGTTTTTTTGGGGCCTGGGATGGAGATGAGGGGGGAGGTATAGGGGCAGGTGTAACACCTACAGTTGCAGGGAAAGGTGCCGGGGGTGGTGGGGCTAGTGGGGAGTATGGAGCGGACGAGGGAGTCATGGAGAGAGTGGTCCCTCCGGAAGGCAGATAAGGGTGGGGAGGGAAATATATCCTTCGTAGTGGGATCAGATTGCAGGTGGTGGAAGTGTCGGAGAATAATGCGTTGAATCCGGAGGTTAATGGGGTGATCAGTGAGGCCAAGGGGAATTCTGTCTTTGTTTTTATTGCGGGGAGGGGGTGTGAGGGCTGAAGTGCGGGAAACGCAAGAGATGTGGTCGAGGGCGTTTTCGACCACTGAAGGGGGGAAGTTGCAGTCCTTGAAATACGAGGACATCTTGGATGTTCAGGAGTGGAATGCCTAAACTTGGGAGCAGATGCAGCGGAGGCGGAGGAATTGGGAGTATGGGATCACATTCTTGCAGGAAGGTGGGTGAGAGGAGGTGTAGTCTAGGTAGCTGTGGGAGTCAGTGGGCTTGAAATAGATATCAGTTTCGAAGTGGTCACCAGAGAAGGAGACAGAGAGGTCCAGGAAGGAGAGGGAGGTATCAGAGATGGTCCAGGTGAACTTAAGGTTGGGGTGGAAGGTATTAGTAAAGTTAATGAACTGTTCAAGCTCCTCGTGGGAGCATGAGGCAGCACTGATACAGTCATCAATGTAACGGAAGAAGAGGTGGGTGATAGTGCCAGTGTAGCTGTGGACGAGGGACTGTTCCACGTATCCTACAAAGAGGCAGGCATAGCTTGGGCCCATGCGGGTACCCATGGCAACCCACTTAATCTGTAGGAAGTGGGGGGAGTTGAAGGAGAAGTTGTTAAGGGTAAGAATGAGTTCAGTTAAGCGGATGAGTGTGTCGATGGAGGGGGACTGGTTGGGCCTGCGGGAGAGGAAGAAGCGGAGGGCTTTTAGGCCATCTGCATGGGGAATGCAAGTATATAGGGACTGGATGTCCATGGTGAAGATGAGGCGTTGAAGGCCAGGGAGTTGAAAGTTTTGGAGGAGTTGGAAGCCGTGGATGGTGTCCTGGACATAGGTGGGGCATTCCTGGACCGGGGGGAGAAAATAGAGTCGAGATAAGCGGAGATAAGTTCGGTGGGGCAGGAGCAAGCAGAGACAATGGGTCGACCAGGGCAGTTGGATTTGTGGATTTTGGGAAGGAGATAGAAACGGGCGGTACAGGGTTGGGGAACGATGAGATTGGAGGCTATGAGTAGGAGGTCACCTGAGGTGATGAGGTTATGGATGGTCTGGGAGATGATGTTTTGGTGGTCAGGGGTGGGGTCATGATCAAGGGGGCGGTAGGAGGAGGTGTCAGAGAGTTGGTGCCTGGCCTCGGTGATGTAAAGGTCAATGTGCTATACCACAACTGCGCCTCCCTTGTCCACAAGTTTTATAGTGAGGTTAGGGTTGGAGCGGAGCGCTCATGCCTAGACGTTGAACAATTTTTCTGCTGCCTCTGCCTCTATGCTTATTTCTTTAATTGCGAGTCAACCCCGCCCCCACCCCCCCACCCCCACAGACCCCTTCTCCCGCCTACAACACACCCCATTCTCCTGGACACCACCCCAAGGCCTCCTACCCTCCCTCAACCTCTTCATCTCCAACTGCCGTCACGAAATCGATTGCCTCAACCTCTCCATCCTTCTCACTCACTCCAACCTCTCCCCCACAGAACATGCAGCCCTCCACTCCCTCCGATCCAACCCTGACCTCACTATCAAACCCACGGTTGTTGGTACCAATGTGTACAATGACCTCTGCCTGCTCACCACCCCCTCTTAAGAATTTGATGCAACTGCTCAGAGACATCCTTGATCTTGGCACCAGGGAGGCAACACACCATCCTGAAGTCAGACAAATTTGATTGAGTTCTTTGATGAGGTGACACAGGCAGTGGATGAGGGTAATGTTGTGGATGTTGTATATTTGGGCTTTCAGAGAGCATTTGATACAGTGCCACATGGTAGGGTGGTTAGCAAATTAGAAATGTTTCGGATTGAAGAGTCCTTGGTAGCATGGATTAGAAATTGGCTGAAGCATGGGAAACAGAGGGTAGGTAGGTATAGATGTGCAATTCTCAGATTAGAGACAAGTTGAAAATAGTGTTCCCCAAGGATCAGTGTTTGGCACCTTGCTTTGTCTGATTTACATAAATGATTTGGAGGTGCGTGTTGAGAGCAAAATCTGTAAATTTGCAAATGACACTGAACTAAGCAGAATAGTGAATTGTCAGGATGATGCTGAGTGACTTCAGAGGGTCATCGACAGGTAGGCCAAATATGCAGACACCTGGCAGATGAATTTCAATGCAGAAAAATGTGAGATAGTGCACTTTGAAAGAAGAAACATAGCGACAATACAGGCTTAATGATACAACTTCGAGATTAGCACAGGAGCAAAGGGTTCATGTGCATGATTCTCTGAATGTGGCCAGGCAAGTTGAAACAGTTTTTAAGAAGGCTTAGAAGATCCTTGGGTTTATAAGTAGAGGCATAGAGTGCAAAAGCAAAGAAGTGATGCTATACCTCCACAAATCTTTGGTCAGACCACATTTATTGTATTGTGTTCCATTCTGGGCAACTTATTTAAGAAAGGATGTTAAAGCCCTGGAGTGAGTTCAATGGAGATTTACTAGAATGATACCAGGAACGAGAGATATTAGATACAAGGAAAGATTAGAGAAATTGAGCTGATTCTCCTTGGAGCAGAAAAAATTAAGAGGTAACTTTACCGAGGTGTTCAAAATTACGAATTATTTTGACAGGGTAAAGACTGTTTCCACTTATGGGTATTTCAGTACTCGGGGTTACAATTTCAAGGTTGTCAGCAAGACAGCTAAAAATGAGATGAAGAGAAGCTTCTTTTACTGGGAGAGTTGTTAGAATTTGGAATGTACTGCCTGGGAGAGTGGTGGAAGCAGAATCATAGGAGATTTCAAAAGAGAGCTGGATATGTATTTGAAAGTGATGAATTTAGAGGACTACCGAGATAGGGCAGGAGAATGGAATTAGCTGGGTAGCTTTATTGTGACCTGCTGCAGATACAATGGGTTGAATGGCCTCCTTCTATACTGTAAAATTCTATGATTCCACAATCCTATCCAGGTATGACTGTAGTTACATGCACATGTCCATATAGTTACGCATGTAAGTGTGACTGTCACATGTAATTGTGACTAAAACCACTCAAATATTGTGACTGTCAGTACAATAAACCTCTCACCATGACTGTGAGTCACATGTAGATGCGATTGCCAGTGTAATTATACTTGTAGGCGTAGTTGTCAGTACAATTACACATGTAAACTGTGACTGTAAGAATAATTACATAGAGACTTACCTGGAGGCAAGATTCTATAAACTCATCCATCGTTACCACACCATCTTTGTTCTTATCCATTTTCTGTGAAAGTACAAATTGATATGAAAAATTGTTAAGAAATGTTTCCATTAGGAACACACAGATAGTTCCTTCACTGGTCTACTCCATGCATGAAACAATCTTGGTGTAGTTTTATATTTTAAACTTATATAAAATGGAACGAGAATGCTGGTCTGCTCTTGCTAATCATTCTGACTTGGGGAAGCTGTGTTTATACACAGCCACAGGAATGGACAAAAAGATTGAAGCACCATCTCCAAATCACAAAATATATAAGCCCGTCATCATCAGTGGGTCAAAATCCTGGAATTTCCTCCCTATTGGCATTCTGGGTATACCTATGGTACATGGCAATTATCTGCAGCAGTTCAAGAAGGCAGCTCACTACAACTTTCTCAAGGGCAACTAGGAATGGGCAAGAAATGCTGGTGCAGGCAGCAATTTTCACAATCTGCACAAGACCTTGAAACAAACTGAGTACCCAGATATAAGTAGGTTCTTCTGTATATGAGTGGGAAAGATCTGAAAGTGTTAAAACCGGGGACTGCCATAAGCACCACCTATTGTGATGATGTCACATGAACTTATGGATGAAACAGCTTAGTACCTTGAGGGTTCTAACACTAGGTTCTCCTCAAAGTCTCTGTTGCAATGTTTATCATATCAATGAAAGCTGCCACTAGTTGCTATATTCTTGTTAACTACAAAGGACTCTTCTAGTTACACCAGGAAGTGGCTTCCCTCAGCCACACTACATCCTGTAGTTTCTTATATTTAAAGAGGATGGTGGCAGAAACCTCCATCATCTGCAGCAGCTCACCCATTATAGTGAGCTGGCATAACCATACAACAAGGTCTTACTCATGACTGTCATGGATATGGCATCAGAGTACAGGGGATCACTCTTAAACCATGCAGCCACCCAAATTTATGTAAAACGGTGGGTGCTGGGACATAAACCTGAAGTGGCTGTACAGAGTAAGAGGGTTCTGTAGGAAACTGACCATAAATAGCACTGCCTCCATAAGCCGTGATACTGACAATCAATCCATCAGTCTAGGCTCCATCTTGCCACTCACATACTCACAGAACATGCCAAAAATCAATCAATAAACTCACCAAGGAATGGGTTTTATCAGAAATAGCTTAAACTCAACTGTTAAGAAAAAGGCGCGAAATTGGAATTTAGACTGTATGGAATTTATCAATCCCAAACAGAGTTGGAGGTCAGTCACAGTATGAAAAAAGGTGTATAATTTATAAATATACTAATATCATTATTGGAAATTCATTTTCAAAATAGAGATAGACGGGTATCAATTGTTTCTGTCAACAGTGTTCTTTCAAAATAAAAAAAAGAGGACTTCAAGAGATCTTCCATAATAATGATTAAATCTAGAAATATGTTTATTTTGTTGGGTTTACAACTGTTAACTTTGGTTTCAGTTTAGTTTAGGAGACCAGGGTGAATGATTTTAGAAGCAAGTCCAGTTTCTCTCCAGGAAGGAGTTTAAGGGTTGTTCTGCGAACCAGTTTCTTCAGCAGAAGGGGTGAGTTTGCAAGGAGAGTTTGATTAGAAGTCTGCAAGCTATTAGAACTGAGAAAGTTTAAGCTGTCAGATTTGAAAGAACATATCGAATTGTCTCCACAGTCCACGATAAAAAAAAACTGTAAGGGGTTAGTTAAGTAGAATCCAAAAGAGTTGAGGAAAAGGCATAATTTTCTTGTACTTGAGAGTCTGTAATGGATATTACGGGGAAACAGTTTATGATTTTGTTCTGCTTCGTTTTAAGATCATTATAATTATCTTCTTTATTCAGACAGCTTATTATTTCTTCTTTTGTGGAATTGATATCTTTCAATTGTTGAAGAAAATCTGCAGCCTCTTGTGAACTAATTAAACCAAGAAATGATCTACCAAGCCAGATTTCACACTGAGATCTGGCTTGTCCAGTAGTGCCACCATGTGAGATCATATCAAAAGAACCATTGATTTATGGAGAAAAATAAAGAAGATGCAGATTCCTGGAGTCCAGGACTTGTCAAGTTTACCTTGAGCAATAAAGTCCATTTGAAACATAACTGCTGCTGTCATGTTGTCCAAGTATGTGTCGCAGTCCTACTTTCAGTTGTCTTAGAATAACCAATATCCCTCACAGCAGCAACATTCTCAGGAACAATAGTGATTGGAGCAGGATCTCTGCATGATCACACAAAACCACTGAGTAGATCACTGACTGAATCCAGACAAATCTAAACCACAAAACATTTTAATCATTGTAGGCTAAATCTAAACCTGGAGCCCACGGGGAAAGATCAAACAAGCTGCTCTCACTCAGAACACTAGAGTGAACCATTTTGGTAATGTTAAACTCTGAAAGCACTTGCCTGAAAAAAGACATCCACATGATGGCGTGGAGCATCGTCCTTGAGCACAGGATAGGTGTACTTCCCCATCATGTTGTAGATAGCTCTCACAATGTCAGTCATCTCCTGTGGTTTCAGGAACAGAAAGTTCAGACACTTCCCCAATCAGCTCTACTACACTGAAGATTATCCACTTTTACAATAGCTGTCCATTGAAGATTAATCCTCCAATACACTAACTACTCATTGAAGACAAAACCTCTAGTACATTTACTTCCCATTGAAGACCATTTGCCTTATACAGTAATGCCTATTAAGGACCACACTGTAGTACACTAACTCCTCATCGAAAACCAATCATTGAGGACAAGATCTTTGTATTAAGGCCCTCCTTCCAGTTCAATAACTCCCCATTGAAGACTACTCCTCCAGTGCACTATGTCCCTATTGAAGAGTATCCCTCTAGTAACCAACTGCCCATTTAAGACCATTCCTTCTGTACACTAACTCATCATTGAAGACCATCCTTCCAGTATGCTAACTCCTCATGGAAGATCAAACTTTTCATACACTAATTCTGGTTCATTAACTCTCTTTGAAGAACAATCCTCTATGACACTAACTCCTCACTGAAGACCAATTATCGAGTATAAGAACTTTGTATTGAAGACCATCCCTGTAGTACATTAACTCCCCATTGAAGACAACTCCTCTAGTGCACTACTTCCCAATTGATGACTATTCCTCTAATACACTAACTGCCCACTTAGGACCATTCCTTCAGTACACTAACTCGTCATTACAACCAATCCTCTAGTTCACTAACACCTCATTGAAGATCATTCCTTTAGTACACTAACTCATTACTGAAGACTATCCTTCTAGTGCACTAACTCCTCATTAAAGATCAATCCTCCAGTACCCTAATACCACACTAAAGATCATACCTCTAGGACACTAACTCCATACTGAAGATTATTCCAAAAGTAGACTAACTCTTCAAGGAAGATCTTTCTTCAGGCACTTTAACTGCCGAGTGAAGACCATCCTTCTAGTACATTAGCTCCCATTTAAGACCATTCCTCCAATATACTAATATTCTATATATCAGCATGACACAGTATCACAACCAGCTTGAACATTGCTCCAGAAAGTTAGATAATATTTCTTGTGCTTGTTAGTTTAATTTTGCATACCTCTTTGTTGATATATCCATCCTTATTAATGTCATAGAGGTTAAATGTCCATCTGAGCTTCTCATGAACCGTACCCCTCAGTAACACTGACAGAGCCATCACAAAGTCCTGAAATTAGAAGATCACGGAATAAATGTGCCCATTGATAATCAATACAAAGCAATCCAGTTTGGGTCTGGTGTACTTGGTTAAGTGTTTTAAAGGAACCAATCCAATTTTGAACATCACAGAAGGCAGAGGCAACCATTCAGTATGTTTTCTAGTTCCTGTCTTAAACAGCAGGCTCTATTGGGAGGTTTGTGATCAGCATATCTACACTAGAAGGTCCGTGTACAGTGTATCTACACAAACATTAGCCAGGTAGTTGACACTGATGAAGAAGGTCTTAAGCTTTAGGAGGATATGGACAGATTGATCAGATAGGCAGATCAGTGCGGATAGAATTTAATCCTGATAAAGGTGAGGTGATGTGCTTTGGAATAAGGAATAAGACGAGGGAGTATTCAATGAATGGTAGGAAGCTCAGGGATCTCGAGGTGCTTGCCCACAGATCTCTGAAGGCAGAAGGACTGGTTAACAGGGTAGGTAAGAAGGCATATGAGATACTTGCCTTCATCAGTCATGACATAGATTATAAGAACAAGGACATCATGCTGAACGTACAGACTTTGATTAGGCCACAGCTGCAGCACAATGTGCAGTTCTAGCCACGGCTCTATAGGAACAATCTGATTGCACTTGAGATGTTGCAATGCAGATTTGCCAGGATGTTGCCTGTGATGAAGCATTTCAGCTATGAAGAGCGGCTGGATAAGCTTGGGTTGCTTTCTTTAGAGCAGACAGGTTTGAGGGTGTACTGGTAGAAGTGTTTAAGAGTATGAGGCGTATGAACACTAGTGTTTGTAATGAGGTCAGCCAGCTGGACCTCATAAAATGAGTTCCTTGATTGGGGCTGTAAATCTGGCCCAAACAGGCAACCCTGGATGATATATTGAAAGGGTGAGTGTCACAGATACTGACATTATTACTGCATTAATACTGCCTTATTCAGAGTCAAGTGGCCTAGTGGTACTACCGCTGGACTGTTAATCCAGAGACCCAGATACCATTCTGGGGACCTAGGTTCAAGTCCCGCCATGGCAGATGGTGGAATTTGAATTCAATAAAATATCTGGAATTATGAATCTAGTGATGACCATGAATCCATTGTCGATTGTCAGGAAAAACCCTTCTGGCTCACTAATGTCCTTTGGGGAAGGAAACTGCCATCATTACCTGGTCTGGCCTACATGTGACTCCAGACCCACAGCAATGTGGTTGACTTTTAACTGTCCTCTGGGCAATTAGGGATGGGGAATAAATGCTGGCCTAGCCAGTGATGCCCTCATGCTGTGAACGAAAAAAGAAAAAAAATAGTCAAGTACAGGTGTGTCAGAGATACTGACACTCTGGTACCTGACTCTTAACGAGGCAGTAATAATGCAGATTCCCCACATTGTCACTCACAAACCCATTTACCCTTCAGGTACCTTGTGTTACTGACTATATCTCTACTGACATTAATGTAGCTGCCTCACATTGTCACTCAGTAACCCCTACTCCACAGTGCCCTCTGTTTATGACTATATCACAACTGATGATAATCAGCTCCCTCAAAACGTCACTCAAAAGCCTCTCTGCAACCAGAGACGTGTATTGCTGATTGTATCTCAACTAATGCTAATTCAGCTGCCTCACATCATCACCCAGTAACCCCTCTCCCAACTGTTAAATGACTGTATCTGTATTTAGGTTAATCCAGGTTAAACCTCCTAAAACTTAATCCAGAGATGTCAGAGATAGTAGGAACTGCAGATGCTGGAGAATCTGAGATAACAAGGTGTAGAGCTGGATGTAGAGCAGGCCAAGCAGCATCAGAGGAGCAGGAAGGCTGACGTTTCGGGCCTAGACCCTGATGTCACACAGTTTTTCTGTAAACCCTCTACCCATCAGGTGCATTGTGTTCTGACTGTAACTCTCTTGATGCTTATGCAGCTCCCCCATGTTGTCAATCAGTGACCCCTCTTCAAACAAAGCCTTGTGCAATTGACTGTATCTCTATAATGTTAATCCAGCTCCCTCACACTGTCACTCAGAAAGTTCGCTCCTGTTTTACCGACTGTATCTCGACTGATGTTAATCCAGCTCCCTCAAGCTGTTACTCAGTAACGTCTCACCCACCCCAGCATATTTTTTTACCAACTGTACGTCTACTGACTTTGTCCAGAATCCTCACAATCTCACTCACTGACCCTCATACTCCCCACTGCCCTGTGTTACAGTGTATTCCATGTTATTACACTGTCACGCTTTATCCCCCCACTCCTCACTATCGTGTGTTACTGACTGTATCTCTATTGATGTTAATCTAGTCCCCTCACATTGTTTTTGTCAAAACACCAGCGCCCTGTGTAACAAACTATATCTCTAAATATGTTAATTCTACTTCCTAACATGTCACTCACTAACATTGCTTCTCCCCAGCAATCTGTTTTTGTGACTGTATCCCCCCTGATGTTATTCCACCTCCTTCACAGTCACTCAGTAACCTCATTACCCTTGTAGACCCATGTGTTGCTCACTGTATCTCATCATTCAATCACTCAGCAACACCTCTGACATCCAGCAATCTGTTTTACTGACTGTATCACGATTGATGTTAATTGAGTTCCTTCACACTTTCGGTCAGTAAGCCCCACATTCCATAGTGCCCTGTTTTACTCACTGTATTTCAAAATATTTTACCCTGATCCCTCATACTGTCACTGAGAACCACCTCTTTCCAAGTACTTTGTATTATCCTACCTACCAGTCACCACCCTGTGTCACTGATTGTATCTCTACTGATGTTAATCCAGCTTCCTCACACTATCACTCAGCAATATATGTATGCTTGTACCTTGTTTTCCTGACTGCATTTTTATTGATGTCAATCCATCCTCATCACAATGTCACTTAGTAAATGGTCTCCCAGAAAGCCCGTTATGCTTCAGATTGCATCTCTACTGATGTTAAATCAGCTCCCTCCTAATAGCATATTCTGAATCAGTATCCCATCCATCCCTAACTACCCTGTGTTACTAACTCTATTTCTACTGATGCTAATCCAGCCTCTTCACACTCTCTTCATCAATCCACTAACACCGTGTTACAGATTATATCCCTAAACATGTTAATCCTTCTTACTAACATTGTCACCTAGTAACACCTCTTCCCCCCTACAATCTGTTTGACTGATTGTATCTCCCCTGATGTTAAACCATCTCCTTCACAGTCACTCAGTAACCTCTTTAGCTCCCCCCCGACCCCAAATCCATGTGTTACTGATTGTATCTCAACTGATTTTAATCTGCCTCCATCATCCTATCACCCAGCAACACCTCTGACAACTCGGCAATCTGTGTTATTGACTGTGTAAGTACTGATGTTAACTGAATTCCCTGACACTGTCACTCAGTAACCCAAACAATCAACAGTGTCCTGTTTTACTGACTGTATTGTCACTGATGTTATCCTGCTCCCTCATACTGTCGCTCAGAACCCATTCTCCCCTGATTGTCCTGGATTATTGTCTATATCTCTGCTGATGTTAATCCAGCTCCCTCATACTGTCACTCAAAAACTACCCTAAATCCAGAAAACTGTTATACAGACTATATTTTGACTGATGTTAATCCAGCTCCTTCAAACTGTTACTCAGTTACCCTTCACCATTCCAGCACACACTTTTACTAACTTTATGTCTACTGACATTATGCAACTCCCTCACACCATGATTCATTCACACTCCCCACTGACCTATGTTACACTCTTTATCTTTCATGTAATTTCAGCTCCCTGACACTGTCACACTGTATGTCCCCTGCTCCTCACCACCCTTGTTACTGACTGTATCTCTACTGATGTGAATCAGCCCCCTCACACTCTCTCTGTCAATCCAACAGCGTCCTCTGTTACAGATTATACCTCTAAACATGTTAATCCTTCTGCACAACACTGTCACTCAGTAATACCTCTTTTCCCCCAGCAATCTGTTTTACTGATTGTATCTCCCCTGATGTTAATCGATCTCTTTCACAGTCATTCAGTAATCTCTTTACCCCTCCAGATCCATGTTATGAATTATATCTCAACTGATTTTAATCTAACTCTGTCATCCTATCACCCAGCAACACCTCTGACACCACAGCAATCAGTGTGGCTGTGTCACGACTGATGTTAATTGAGTTCCCTGACATTGTCACTCAGTAAGCCCAACACTTAACAGCGCTCTGTATTACTGACTGTATTTTCACTAAAGTTATCCTGCTCCTTCACACTGTCACTCAGAACCCACTCCTCCCTGAGTGCCCTGTACTATTGTCTGTATTTGTACTTTTGTTAATTCAGCCCCATCACACTGTCACTCAGTAATCCCTAAACTCTTCCAGCTCCCTGTATTACTGAATGTTTCGCTACTGATGATAATCCAACTCTCTCATGCTGTCACTTAGTATCGCACACACTCCCCAACACCCTATGGTACTCACTGTATTTCGACTGATGTTAATCCAGCTCTCTCATATCACTCAATATCCCCTCTTCCACCAGAACCCTGTGTTATTGACTGCACCTCAACTGATGTTAATCCAGCTCCCTCGCATTGTCACTCACTAACGCCCAAATCTCCCTGCATCTTGTGTAACTAACCGTATCTTGATGATGATAATTCTCCTCCTACACACTGTCACCAAGTGACCTTTTTATGTCTGTACCTTGTTTTCCTGACTGCACTACTGCTTATGCTAATCCAGCTCCATCATACCATCATGCACTAGTACCTCACCCTAAAAATCTGTGGTACTGGCTGCATCTGTACTGATGTTAATCCACTCGCTCATTGTCACTCATTAACCGCTCTTCCACCAAGTGCTCTGTATTTCAGTTTGTATCTCTACTGGCATTAATCCAGCTCCCTCACATCACTCAGAAATCTGTCTCCAACAGTGCCCAGTGCCCTACTGACTGTAACTCTACTGATGTCAATCTGGCTGTCTCACATTGTCTCTCACTTAGCCCCAAACTTCCCA